TCAGTCAGAGCTGATCTCAGTTTCTGCCCTGCCACTCATTACTGTGTGACCCTGGACAAGTCACTGATTTTCCTTTGTAAAAAGAGGAAGACAATACTTCAAAAAATTGCTAAGAGACTTGAGAAAGAGAAGACCCATGCAAGTCACCTGCATTGTAACTGTTGCAAGGTCTTTGCTCAATACCTGGTTATGGAAGTGAAATATAATAGACCTAAGGGTGTTTTCTGAATTGTGATACATGAGAGTCCATCACTCTAGAGAGATTGGGGCATATTTACTCACGAGCACTGCTTTATATTTGCCCAAACTGAAGCTTTGTTGTGACTTTTTTGGATTCTCCCGAGTTCTTTATGCCCTGAGATTTAAAGTCAGGGGACTCCAGCTTATATTCTTTCTCTATGATTTATTAGCTCTATGATTTGGGGTCATTATCATCTCTAAGTCCATTTCCTCTACTGTAACACTGAGTTGATAGAGATATTTGAACTCAAATCCACTCAGGATTCTAATTGTAGCTCCATCAGTTTCTAGCTCTCTGACCATGCTTAACCTTGCTTGGCTTAACCTTGCTTGGTTTCCTAATATACAGATAGAAAAATAACACCCGCTTCAGAGAATCATTGCCATAGTTCAATGAGACAACCATGCACAGCATCCCCGGGGTCACACAGGATGCTCTTAACCATTAGTTGTGTTGCTCCCCAAATCACAGAGTTGTCCAAATGTTTTGTAACTTCTAAACGAGTGTGCAGATAGTAGGAGCTATTATTTTGTGTGGTATTTCTTTACCTAGAAGCAACATTGTGTAATGGAAAGAGCATTGGATTTAAAGTCCAACTGGGATTGAAGTGATGAAAGCTTTGGATAAACACTCTGCTCCCTGAGGCTTGGGTTCTTGGTCTCAAATAGGGACAATAGACCTCTCTCTGCATACCTCACAGGGGCACCTGGAGCATCTGACAAAACGCTAATGGTGAAACCAGTAAGGTCTGAAAAGGAGGCGCCGTGATGACTAAAAATGTTTGATGACATTTATAAAAGTGGGGTTTCACTACTTAGTGTCCCTTCTTCCATGTCTTTGATTAAAATGTGGATGAAGGAAAACTCAATTCAGAGTGGTTTCTGATTTCTGCAGATCCCTTTGTTAATATTCTCTATCTAGGGAGGTTGCAACAACAGTACCATATTATTTCCTATGATCCTTGTCAAAAATGAGGTAGTACCATAACAACCATTTCTGGAATCAAGCTGATCTCTGATGTGAAAGTCCAGCCACAGACATCTTGAATCTATGAAAATTGAAAGCACTGAGTTTCAGTAGTTCCCTACTTAGATCCTAAACCTAATCTCTTTTTAAAAATTTTTATTTCAGTCCAATTGATTAACATATGGTGTATTATTAGTTTCAGAGGTAGAGTATAGTGATCCTTCAGTTTCATATAACACCTTATTACATCAAGTGCCTAGCCCTAATCTCTTAAGAGCAGGTTGGTTTGTTAAAGTCCTTCTGCTTTTCTCCCCATAATAGCTTATGTTTGCCACATTTACATGATCCTAGAATCCTGGATTCCAGACACGGCAGTCAGATTCAACCTCTTATAATTCCCAGGCAACCCTTCACATGGGTGGAAATCCCACTGGCAATATGACATTCCCTCTGGGGCAGTGACCATTTATGAGAGGATATGCAGTCTGAATAATAGCTCCACATTTCTACCCATGACTCACTTCAGAATTCTGGGGTAAATACCATCCAACTTGTTAAGTTAGGTTGTCCATTCCATTTAGTTGGTGGGCAGTGGGGAGGAGCCACACAGCATGGATCCCTGACTTGAAAGGCAAGAGATTTGAACTCTTGTCCCAAATATGCTACCAGTTTGTTGGATAAACCTGAGAAAGTCATTTTTCTCTATGGCTCAGAGATTTGAAGGGGTTGGATGAGACGATGTCTAATGTCCCTTCCAGGGTGATCATTTTGTGATTCAAAACACACTGTCATGCATAGTTTTTCCTGGCAAGGGCCCTGAGGGACAGGGCTGGGATCACTGAAACATCTGATAATGCATCTCCCTTTCCTTAACAGCACCCAGAGGCTCTCCTTTGAATAAACTCTGGTTGAATATCCCTAATTAAGCACACTAGGCTCTGTGGAACTTGGCCACTAGAATGGTAACTTAGACCAGACAAGAGGTCAAAGGAGGTGTGGGAAAACCATTTGTATTGATTTTCTATTGGTGAAGTAAATTGCAAAAATGCCCATTAATGAAATTTAGAGTAAAAATGAAAAGGGGGAAGACCTTGCCCTGCTGGTTTCATAGTGCTGGCCTGAGGCTGTATCTTCATTAGGGCCTCACGCAGAAGAGGCTTGAACTACAGAGGCTACTGAGTTCCATCCTGATGTTAGTCTCCTGCTGCGCCACCTTGGGCAGGTCTGGCTCCCTCTTTGAGCCCTTATTTCCTCCATCTGCTAGTGAGCATCTTGGACTAAGGCAGTATTTCTCAAAGTATAATGTACATATGAATCATCCAGAGATCTTGCAAAAATACAGATTCTGATTCTGTGGGTCTGGAGTGGGGCCTCTGATTCCACAGTCCAAACAAGCTCCTCGGTACCGCTGCTCTTGCTGATCCTTCACCCATTGAGAAACAGAAGGCTAGATCATTTTTAAGGTCGTTTTTTTTTTTTTTTTTTTTTTTTGTCTGTGAACCCTCCATGATGCAAATAGTTCCCCAATACCAGGGTGGGAAGCAGAATAGGAAAACGTCTTCAGATGGTATGCAATCTAGATTAAAATACATTTTTATCGTAGACAGGTAAGAATAGCATTTCTAAGCCTCGGCTTAAGCAAGAGGGAAGGTGGGCCCTGGTGGGGATATTGGCTCTGAAGCCTGAGGCCATCTGAAAAGATATTAATGCCTGAAACGAAAGGAGAGGAGTGAGGCAAATGTTGACTCGAGGCAGGTAAAAAAGTCAGGGAACAACTGTCCGCAGAAACCACAGGTGATGGTGTTGGAAATAGTCACAGAAAAGCAACAAAGAGCTTAATGCTCATTCCTCAGAGATGCATGGCTGGCCCTGCATTGTACAGATCCTATCTCATGTACCTTCGCAGCATTCCTGCTAAGCTTCAGGGGAACATTAGGGCTCTCGCCATCATGAAGGGGAACTAGGAGGAGGGAGGGAGCGGATGAAGGCTGAGAACACTGAGAGAGAGGAGCCCCTGGGGTCAGCAGGCAGAGCCTCGGCAGTGACATCTCAGTGACCAGCCCAGGACCTGGCGTCTCTCCACACACACACACTTGGGCATACCCCACTCAGGTTCTCCCCATGTCACCCCTTTGGAGCTACCCGTGGGCAGCGGTGTGGGGGAAGGAAAGTGCCTCAGCACAACCTCGGTTTCACTTCCTGCCTTGAACACAGAGAGTCATTATATAAATATCAACCTCAGCAGCTGCTACTCTCACCCCTCTTCTCGCTATTACTCCCGAGGCCCAGCTCACAGGCAGGGTGCCTGCAGCCTGTCACTTTCCCCTGGTCCCATAGCCCTTGCACCAGGGCGGCCAGGTGGGTGCCTAGGGCAGAAATGAATCACAACCTCTCTCTGACTGTCCAGCCAGCCGTGCCTGGTGGCCCGCGCCTCACTGAGTGGGGGAGGTTGTCCTGACCAGTGGCCCACGTTAATCAAATTAAACCTCATTTACAGACCTGACAGGCAGTCAGCCCATCTGGAGAGGCCACAGAATGCACCGTCAGCGCTCGTGCTGATGGAGTTGCGGCAATGTATGTATATCTATCCCATGAAATGAACTAAAATCACCAAAACTTCAAACGTGTTTTAAGTCAGAAAGGCAGTGTAGCATGAGAGAAAGAGTAGTCTGGAATGGAAGATCAAAGATGGGTTCAAGTCTCCATTGCGCTAAGAATGAATAAAATCTTCTACTAATCTTCAGCCCAAGGAACTCCTCTTTCAACATTGGCTGAGTTTTGTTTGCTTATTTTTTTCTTCAGTATTATTTTAAAAACAACACAGAATCCCAGGCATGTACATGTAATCCCCCTGCTCCTCAATTTCTTCATCTTTAAAATAATGACACGAACCTTGCTTCTCTTCTAGGGCTGTCATAAGGAACATATGAGATGCGTGATGTCTCCTTCTTAGCCTACTGAACACACTGATTGTCTTACAATAGGATATGCCAGTGTATGTGAGTGTGTGTATGTGTGTGTGCGTGTGTGTGCAAAAGAGGTTAGCAAATTGAAAGCTGTTATTCCAAGCTATTTGAATTACTCATGTTTTAACAGTGTTATAGCCATGGCCATCTTAGAAACAGAAAATCTCAGACAGAGCCTGGTAAAATGGTTTCACTGGGCTCTTGAAACAGTCATTAGAAAACAGTGTTTGGGGATCTCAATATCTATGCGTTACTCAGCAGATCAAATGTTGTCAAAATATTATGCTCATTCTTTCTCTTGATCCACTCATGGCCCAACTAGATATTTGTGATTTATTATGAAATGCCAAAAATAGATCACTAAGCAGTTTATTCCGTATGAATCCACTAAACAAATTATATATATGCTTTGACCAAAAAAAAAGACTAAAAAGGGATGGATGTTCAGTAAAATATTAACTACTGGTATAATCTCTGGATGGTGATATTTGGGTGGTTTAAAGGTCTTTCTTCATGCTTTCTTTTAATCATCCAAATTGGATATAATATCAGAGACATGGGCCTCTGAAAGAACACAGAGTTTGGGAGTTCTTAGTTTTCCCCCTTCCCTTAAGCACATATGTGAGGTGTCCAGTAGAAGGAAAGCACTGGCGACAAAGCTGAAAGAGGTCACCATGGGCCCAGGCAGAATAAGGGTCTGAAGTTAATTATTTTCCTAAAAACTGTTTCTCAAGAGTGAGTGATTGATTTCTATGTTTGTCAGTCTTTCATTCATTCACCCATTCTACCATTATTCATGCACTTGGTCATCAAATAGTTATTGGACTGTTATGCAGTGTTGAGATGGAGCATGGACTGATTGTCAGAAGATTGAGGTTCAAGTTCTGCTACCGTTTTTCTGAAGCCATGAGCCCTTGGTCCCTTCGGGCTGCCTGAGGCTCCCTGATCTATGAAATGGGACCAATGATGAGCATGAAAGCTCTTTGAGGACTCCACAGTGCTGAGCAGGGAAGGAGTTTCTGTGAAGTGCCACACACTACGCCAACAGTGCAAGGTAGAAAGGTGAGTCACACGGAACCTGTGCTCTTGAGAAGTTTGCGCTAGTGTAGCCTGCTGGCTTAATGCCAGATCCAGCAATATGGGGCATGGGAAGAATGTCTTCACTGGAAGCCAGGGAACCTGCATGCAAGTTTAGTCTGGGCTGCTGATACGATGTGTGAATATGAGCTACTCAATGTCCCCCTCTGACTCTTGACTTTTTATCTCTCCCATAAAGAAATGATTAAGCCCGATTATCTCCAAGGCACCTGCCAGCGGGGACATTCTATGAAACAGTGGAATCAGGAAAAATGTGAAGCATGTTAAGGTATCCGTCACAAGCCGATATGCATCACATATCGGTTTCTGTTTGTACAGCAAAGTTACGGGAATATTTTAGACAGCACTGGCATCCCACAGGGCACGTCTTGGGTCTGTTGGAGCTGGTCGTCTGCTACCTCCTTGCTCAGTGTCTGTCCCTGCAGCAGAGACAGAAAGCAAACTCTTCTACAAGATGACTAGGAATCCACTTTTGCATCCTGAGTAAACATGATGGGCAACATGTCTATTAGCTGTTTCTCAAACCTCACTATAAAGCGAGTCTGGATGAGGGAGGTGGAAGGTGGGAGCAGTGGGGAGCCCATGTTGGTAATCTGGAGCCCAGGGTTTAGGGGCAGCTCAGCCAGTGACTGAGTAGTGACATTCATTTATTCATTTGTTCATTTATTCAGGGGGCATTTATGGTACATCTACTGTGTGTGTTAGGCACTGGGTTAGACATTTGAGATAATAAAATGTGTAGGACCTAGTTTACTAGACTATGTTTTCCCTGAGAGCCAGAGTCTTGTCTTTATTTCTCCAGTGCCCGCACATGACCCTATCTTGAGGAGCATGTAAACTAGTGGGTCTTTAGAAAAATAATTTTCTTTCCTGGAACTCAGTGTTCCCGTTTGTAAAATGGTTTGGGTGGGGGGAGGGATCGGACTTAATGATGTCCAAGATCCCTTCTAACTTGGGTGTTTTGTTCTGCTGTTACAATTATTTGGTGTCCTGCAGTGAAGGTTTGCATACAGGATGGAGCAAAGTTCACAGAACAATCTGCAGCAGAGGTAAGCTGCAACCGCCAAGCCTCCGGGGAGTGTGTGAAGCCGTAAATCTCACTGATCCAGACTGGGAGCAAGATGTTGTGTCTGAACACCCTCAGAACAGAGAACCAGAATCTCCGAGTTCCTGCCACCACCCCCCACCCCCGCCCCCTGCTTTTACCTGTGTCACCCAAACTCTCCGGGGATGGCAACACCTACCTCACATATTACTGTGATGATTAAATGTGAAAACACATATGAAAGGTCTTTGTAAACTCTGAACTGCTTTATACATGGAAAATAGAATTAATATTCATGAAGGAGGAAGAAATAAAAGGGCACCTTAAAGAATGAATAGGCACTACCTAAGTGAATAGCTGGGTGTCAGACACTAGAGTACGTACTTCATAAAAATCAATCATTTAACCCTCCTGACATGAGGTAGGGGCTATTATTTTTCCCATTCTACAGATAAAAAACCTCGCACCCTGGGAGTTTAAGTAACTAGCTTGGGATCACCCTGCCAGTAAGTGGCAAAGCTAGGGCTCACACCAGAGGAGGCTGGCTGCAGAATCGGTACGTTTAACCAATGTGTCCTTCTGCCACCCTGCATGGAAAAATGTTTTCTAATCCAAGTTAATTCCAGCCAATAAACTTGGCCTGAGAGACAGACTGGGCACTGGGCACATGATGATGAAGACACAGGAGTGTCAGCAGATAAGGAAAGACTCTAAGGAATAAGGAAATAGATACCACAAATATGACTGGTATTGGAATAACGTAAAGAAAAATGTGGAGATGGAAAAGAGGAGGAGTGTTCCAGAGGCTCTACATTTAACAGACTAAGGAACTAGGTGGTGGATGAAGAGAAGTTCAAGGTAAGGCTAAGAAAGAGAGGTATCGGAGCCTGGTGGTGAAGGATCTTGAATGCCAGTATGAAGTGATTGGGGTTTAGCCTGGAGTCGATAGGGAACTATGAAGGGTTTCGGAGCCACTAAGTAGTGCATCAAAAGTGGAATTTTAAGAGAGGTAAGCTAATAAAACAGAAGAAAGCCATTTTTCTTGGACTGGCACTATTACCATAGTCTGTAGACTGGTAAAGATGAAGTTCGATCCAAGTTAATTTTTCAAGTTTGACCTCTTTGGGAGAGGGGAAATGAAATTCCAGGGATTTAGTACCATCATTTATACTCAAAATGGTGAATAATGGAGAGCTGGTCCCAGTCAGGAGTGATGTGTTCCCATCCCATGCTTGACTATCTTTGCTTCCTTGTTGGAGTGGTGGCCCTGCCTCTGATGGACCCCTCCAGTGATGGGGAATCTTTACTCCACCAAACAGGCTGTTATTCTTGGACAGCTCCTACTGCAAGACTGAATTTCTTTTCTTTTCTTTTCTTTTTGCCTTGCCTTCTTTTGTCTTTACCGTTGTCTTTCTCTTCTCCTTTCTTCTCTTCTTTCTCTTCTCTTCTCTTTTCTCTTTCCCTTCCCTTCCCTTCCCTTTCTTGATTTTTTAACTACAAGTGCTCATACTGTTTCACCTGAATCTAAGCATGTCTTTATCTGATACCACCATGCTGGTAACCCCCACAGCCTCAAGCCTATCCAAGTTTCAACAGGGAACTTTGTGGGGGTCTGAAGGGGTGGGATCCAGGAACGAGTGGGGAAACCTCACAGACCATCCCTGCTACCACAGCAGTGCCACTCGGTACCAGGCGGTGAGATTCACAGTGGGTTAGCCATGGCTCTTGCCTCTGAGGGGCTCACATGCTGGAGGACAGATGAAGGGGGTAAACAAACAAACAAAAAAGTATAAAGAATCTGCAGTGTATATATAGGAGGCCCCTCAGTCTCAGTTTCAAGGGATCAGGACGGCATCTGGTTTTGTTCACAACACTGTACCCCCAGTGTGTAGAATGGGGCCTGGCATGTTCCCAATAAATGTTCACTGAATGAATAAATGAGTGAGTGAATGAATAAGTGTCTGATAATATCTGATCTAAAACCATAACGAGGTTCTTCCACCCGTCGACTTAATACTTAACTCACTATAACCTGCCGATCCCTATTTTGTAAGGTCTCCTGTGAGGCTTGTCTTAACAGGTAGATATTAAGCAACAGAGAAAAGGCACAGTGGCATCCACTGCTTTACGTGACAAGAGTGCCCGTCCCAGCACTGACTCCTTGACCACATGTTGAATCCACAGGAGCCTGACTTGTTGAGTGAACCTGAGTAAGTCACTTAACCTCTTTAAACTTCGGTTTCTTATCTCTTAAAGCAAGGGAGTATCACGTCTAGTTCACATAATCGTTAAATAATCTCCTGCTGGGAAAGAACTTGATCTCATGGAGAAAAGAGCTGAATGAAATCGGCGGGTCTCTTTCCTAAAGCAGCTTGATCTTTTCAGAGCATTCAGACTCAAAGGTTAGCCCTACAGAGCAGTTGACATTCAAGGGGCATTTGAACCTGTGAACTTTTGGCTTAAAAGTAAGAGTTCAACTCTCCCCAGGTTCTCTCTGGTGTTGCAAGTTGGCCAAGGGTGGCTGCCGCACTCCGCGTACGACCGGAAACCCCAAATTGGGTTTGCATCTATCTGGCCGAGGTACCTTCCCCAGCTCCACCTCCAGATGTTCCACGGGGGTTTGAGGTGTGGTGGAGGAGTTAACAGAGCTTGGTGTCTCTCTGATACAGGCGAGTGTGTGCACCCGCATGCACGAGAGAGCTGGGGGCGGGAGTGTCCCAGCCTGCTTCCGCACAAGGGTGCCGCAGACAGCCTCAGGTCGCGCTAGGCAGAAGGAAAATGCTTCTGTAATCACAAGAGAGAGGCTTCCCCATCTTCTCTCCGAGAATGTTTGGAGGCCATTTCTTTTTTAGCGAACTGCCAGGCTTTTCCCCCACATCAGTAATATTTCAATGACTTTTACACACTCGCCTGCCTGCTTTTTAATAAGCAGGGCTTTGCATTGATGGTACATGTGCAAAGTCTGACCTTTTCGTAGGAAAAAACATTCATAACCAAAGCTTATATATAGAAGCTTAAGACTGGAGCAGATAAAGATGTAGGTCATATGACTTTTTTGTGTGCGAAGCATAATGCAAGAGGGATGCTGTAGACAATTCAAAACTCATGAAATACTGCCACTGGTTTGAGCCCTCCTAATATTTATCAAAGGCTTTAAATAATGACTTTGTTTTCAACTGGGAATTATAATGCCACCTTCTATCCCCGAGCACAGGAATTTTTTCCACAGGGGAAATTTACTTAGTTTAAAACTATATTGCACTATCTAGTTAACTCCTAACTATTCTTATTAAAGGAAAGAACGGTTACCATAAAAATGCATTCAGTGAACAAATATATAAAATAATATGATAGATAAACGAAAGATCTGATTTGTGTCACTTATCAGAGGAAAACTTTTCCCCAGGCCCACCACTACCCAAGTGAACATACACCAAATTCCTCAGCATTCAAGGCTAACATGACCTGGGAGTTGCCTGCCTTTCCAACAATCCCCGAGACACCCTTTTATAATCTTTGTTCCACCAACTCTTACAAGCCTATGCCTCCATGTTCCTTTATTTTTACCTTTGCTCCCTTTACTCTCTCTTCTTGGGACACCCTTTCCCAGACATGTCTGCATGTCCAAGTCTATTCTGAAATCTATGGCTCGCACATGGTGGCCTCCATGAATACCCCTTCTCTTCCTTTCCTGCTCTTCCTAAGCTCTTTGCTTTTTCATGAGCTGATCACAGCTTGCTCTGGACTCTGCCTACTGGTGTTCAGGTCTTATATCTCATTCTGCTAGACTAGGAACTCTTTGAGGGCAGGGCAAGAATAATGTTTGAGGTACTCTCTACCAGCCTTAGGTGTAGGACCTAATACTGGAGACCACATACAATAGAAAGCACCTCTAAAATACATTCCTGCGAAATGTTTATTGAGTGAGTGAATCTGGCTTTGGGAAGCACTAATAGTGAAGTGCAGAGCATTTAGTGTGTATAGCCACTCTGCTAAGCATTATCTCATTTAAGCATCAGCAGTGAACCCATGATGTTATTGTTACTGTGTCACCTTCCAGAGCTGAAGAAACAAAAGCTCAAAGAAATTGAAAACCTTCAGCCAACATCACATAGCTGGCAGAACAATAGACCAGGATTTAAACTCAGATCTGTAGGGCCAGGGGTCTGCTGGAAGACCTGACTTGTTCCAGCTTGTTCTGATTTGTTCTACCTTATAAGAGCTGATTGCTAAATTATCAGGAATTTCGTGGGGCGCCTGGGTGGCTCAGTCGGTTAAGCATCTGACTTTGGCTCAGGTTATGATCCCAGGGTCCTGGGATGGAGCCCTACACTGGGCTCCACAGTCAGTAGGGAGTCTGCTTGAGAGTCTCTGTTTCCCTATCCCTCTGCCCCTTCCGGCCACAAGAACACGTGCTCGTGCTCTCTCTCAAATAAAGTCTTAAAAAAAAAAAAACAACAAATAAATTATCAGAAATTTTGTGAACTGGTTGCAAAGCACAACCATTAGTAAATATTAAATCATGTAAACATACAAATGAATTATATTAAAAACGATGGTAATAAATAATCAAAATTCACCACTTCCTATTTATTTTATGACCTTCTATTATATATGTTCTTGAGGTTATCAATATTTCCAATATTGGAAAACACGACACATGTGGGCTTCCCCTGTAGAGCCACTTGTTGAGCGCTTACCAACACACCACTGGCCTGGCCCCAAAGCAGGACAATGCTGCGGTAAGCAATAGGCTTAGGGCCCAAGATATACATGGACTTTGCTGTTTCCAGATTTAGCTTTCCAATAGGGCCCCACTTTGGGCCACTGCAGATGAACTGCTTCCTGATGATAGGAAATTGACTTTCATTAAACTCTTTTGGGCTTTGGGGTTGGAGTGAAAATAATTCTAGAGGTTGTTTTATGCCTATACCCATATATCCTAAACCTTATCACAGATTTAATTATTATCTTCATCACATCCCCTACACGGGAATATATGATGCATCTCTTGCAGAGGAAAATGGGAATTCCAAAATATGGCTATAAATTGATTTCCCCCCGATTTTCATGAAAACCTACTGTTTTGCATACATATCCTTGGAGCCTGGATTTCGTGTGCCTGGTGTCTGCAGTATGTACCTTACTTACATGTACCTTACCTGAAATGAAATATGACCTTTTTTTTTTAAGATTTTCTTTATTTATTTGACAGACAGACAGAGAGAGAGAGCACAAGCAGGGGGA